GCTTTTCTACACGGAGATTTAGATGAGGAGATCTACATGACACAACCCCATGGTTTCAAAGCTGCAGGAAAAGAAGATTTGGTTTGTAAGCTGAAGAAGTCTCTTTATGGTTTGAAGCAGTCACCAAGACAGTGGTATAAGAGATTCGACGGCTTTATGATTGGCCGAGGGTACACGAGGAGCCCATATGACCCATATGTTTATATGCACAAGCTACAAGATGGTGAGCTCATATATTTGCTTTTATATGTTGACGATATGCTTATTGCTTCCAGGAATTCTTCGGCTATTCGAAAGCTGAAAGAGGAGTTATCATCCGAGTTTGAGATGAAGGATCTTGGAGAGGCAAAGAAGATATTGGGTATGGAGATCGAGCGAGACAGGGTGAAGGGGAAATTGAAGCTTACACAGAAGAGCTACTTGCAGAAGATGTTGAAGAAATTCAGCTTTGATGGCAATGCAAAAGCAGTTAGCACACCATTGGCTCCCCACTTCAAGCTTTCAGCGTTGATGTCACCTGTTTCAGTTGAGGACAGAGATTATATGTCGAAGGTCCCATATGCTAGTGCAGTAGGTAGCTTGATGTATGCGATGGTGTGTACGAGGCCAGATTTGTCACAGGCCGTGAGCATGGTATCGAGATACATGCATGACCCCGGGAAGGGTCACTGGGAGGCCGTGAAGTGGATTCTACGGTATGTTCGAGGAACCGTGGATGTTGGTTTAGTATTTCAGAAGGATGAGAAGGATGGGCAGGCTTGTATTGGATATGTGGATTCAGACTATGCTGGAGATCTTGACAAACACCGGTCTACTTCAGGTTACGCTTTTACATTGGCAGGTGCACATGTATGTTGGCGTTGCACGCTTCAGTCCACAGTAGCTCTCTCTACTACAGAGGCAGAGTATATGGCAGTTACTGAAGCAATTAAGGAGGCTTTTATGGTTGCGTGGATTATTGGAGGACTTGGGGATTGCTCATAAGACTATTCAGATATATTGTGATAGTATGTCGGCTATCTATTTGGCGAAGAACCAGGTTTATCATGCGCGCACGAAGCACATTGACGTCAGATTTCACTTTGTTCGGGACGTCTTGGATGATGGAGATGTCATATTGGAGAAGGTCCACACAAATGACAACCCTGCAGATATGTTGACCAAAGTTGTTTCAGGTGTGAAATTTGGTCATTGTTTGAAGCTTTTGAACATCCTTCAATGCTGAGGCCTTTGGAGGCCATTTGGATGAACTACGTTCGGCTTGATTCCTTGGGCAAGAGGATACGTAGGCAGTCTTTCAGATGCAGCTGGTTTGATCAGTTGATTCAGATGGGGGGGAGATTGCGTTTCAGCTCGAGTATTGTTCCTGGACTTGTTGAGGAACTATTGGATGATTTGGTGTCGGCTCAGTTTTGGTGGAAACGCATGTCGCGCGAGTAGTGGAAGAATTGAAGGAAATTATCAGAAACCCCGCAAAAAAATCAGCAGACGAGTTGGGCGTCGAGACACGGGGGCAGGGCGGTCGACGCGAAAACGTGCACGCGAATCCTGATGGGAATCAGAGCTGGTGGGGCGGTCGACTGGTGCGGTCGACGCGGATCTGTGGCGTCCGGACGCGGAGCGGTCGACACGAGATGACTGTAGGATTGTTCTGCTGCTCGGTTTGATGATTCGGTCGACGGGTGCGGTCGCGGCGCCAAGACCTGCGCGGTCGAGCCGCGCGGGCGGTCGACGGCGACGATGATGGCTGGGCTGGAGCTTGTCAGGTTTTTGAGCCCGTTTTCGTTTGTAAGTTATATATATCCTACAACCGTGATTTGTTAGGGATCTGAAGGACGATTTTTTGAGGCAGCCTCTAAGAGGATTTGTTGCACTCCAATTGTGGAGCAGAGCCTTTTAGAGATCAATTGCTTTGTTTTAGGGTGTTGGTCTGAGAGAGTGTTGTAACCCTATTTGTATGTCCGCCTGTTGATTTTCTTCGTAAGAGTGAGTAAAACATCTCCGCCCCTCCTTGCCGCCGTGGACGTAGTGCAACGTTGCACGAACCAGTAAATCTCCGTACTTATGTTCTTCGCTCGTGATTGGCTGGTGTTGCCCCATATTGTTTAGTGTTTAGTTTCGACGTTATTGTTCGTGAGTGCCCTAGAGAGCTCTTCCGCCGGCGCACAATCCCCCGCACAGTATGTTGAAGTCCCATATGAGGCTGTGAACCCATGTCTTCTTTAGACCAATACCGTGGTGGCGCAAGGCCAGCCGGCAGCCGGACATAAGCGCACACGGGGAGTCGGCCACGCGATGCGATACTTACGCGGGTGCGCCCATACACATCCGTGACCGACGGGCCGCGCGGTGCGCGGGAGTACGGATACAGGCGAATGAGCCCGAGCTCGCGGCATTGCCAGGGCCATCCTGTGCAAGCCTCGGCCCGTGTCGTGAAGACCGTAGTGAGGCCAAGGCCTCCCGGACGCGGCCCTGCGCTATATCGGGCAGCCGGGACTGGATCGGAACCGCGGCCGGTAAGCCGGCAGGTGAGAACCGGTAGGTGCCTCGGGAGGTCGGGGCGCGCCACGACGCTGCGCGAATGTTGGGCCCAGCGCGGTGAGACGTGGGGCAGTCGGCGGTCGAACGGGCTTGCCGACGGCAACGCGACAAGGCACACTCAAAGAGAGAAGAGCCAAAAAAAAAAAAGGGTGTTCTTTTTTTATACTAGAACTAATTTAATTTTATCTCAACAAACTTCAAATAACATTTTAGAACAAAACACATACTTGCATAAAATTTCATAAAATAAAAAATTAAGGGTACTATAGAACGCTTTCCCCCCCCCCCCCCTACAAAACCAGAAAGAATTACACTATTTATTTTTAATTTATCAACCTTTGTATTATGTAACCCAAAGTCTCATCCCCATTTATTTTTAAATCCATCTACTTTTAAAATTACACAGATCCAAAATAATTCACCTAACACTTTAATCCAATTTTTTTGAACTTTCAATTTGTACCAAATTTTAAAAGGCCTTACCTACAATTAGTACCAAATTTTAAAAAGCCTTACCTACAATTAGTACCAATTTTTAAAAAGCCTTACCCTATAAACCCAAACTCTTACCCCTATTTATTCGTGAACCCACTCTCTTCCATAGCCATTATTAAAACCAAAATAATTATTTTTGAAGTCACTCTATATAATTAATATTAAACTCATTTTGTATTTCAACAGCTCAGTATGGTGTAAGTTGCTATATAACTTACAATGTATTTATCTGAAGTAACTATGCATACGACCTATTTTAAACCCTATGTTTAAACAATCATTTGGTTTTTTTCCACATCATACTGTGGTAACGTGCGGGTCAATTTTGCTCGTTTATGTGTAAAATAAAGTTATAGAAAAATATGATGCCATATGAAATATTTGTGACAATTTATGGAAACATCTCATGCAATAAGAAAAGTGAACCGAATAAAGAAAAATGATGACGACTTGGCAAGACTAGCAAAATTTTAATATGTACAAAATGGTGAAACATTGTTTTATGACATTTAAATGGCAGTATGTATATTCCTCTAGTTATCAGCTAATTAAAACGCTAGCATAGCGTGCACCTACAACGATTATATATTAACCATAGAAAGGGACTTTTCTCAAGGAAATTTTTTGGAAAAGGACTATTTTGGCACTTATATCTAGGAAAGTACTAGCTAGGTGGTAATTTATCATTTTTTTATCCCTTTCTCATTTGCTTGTTCTTGATTATTCGTTTACTTCGTTGGGAGGCAACAAATGGAGTATGATAGTTTCATTGTTGTTAAATCAATGACATGCATGTCCAGCCTAGCTACTAATGTAGTTGCTTGGGCAAAAACTGTTTGGGATGGTTTCCTATATCCTAAACATTCTTTTATATTATGACTAGCTTGTCATTCAAGACTCCTCATCAAGGATAGATTGGCCGAATGTTTATTCTGAGCACAAATCAGATTTTTCAAAGGTTCAAAATGAGAGTATACATGTACATATGAAAGAGATACTTGAGAACTTGTAATTTTTCCTTTTGATTTTCCAGGTTTCCTGGTACATTGATGTTCTTCAAAATCTTTCAAATTGGGAAATGAATAAAATTTCATTTCATTGACCAAAAAAAATCAATGACATGAACATCTAATACTACAAATTAATAGATTAAGAGTTAGATTAGAAACATATATTAAGATGTCGACACTTATAGGAAAATTCTAAACACCTAAACTTAATAATTAACTGTACTATGGTTATCTGTAGCAAATCCGTATATATATTATTTGCCACAAGTCTAATCCATAATCAGCAAGAGATTTGGTGTATGTTCAAGTAAGTTAAATTAAACTTTGTGACATAAGCTATGCACATGTACACTATGGTTAACTAGCATAAACTAAACCACCTTGCAAATAATTAATCAAGTTAATCAAGAGATGATTGGATTTGCTATTCTCATGTCTTTCCTTGCTGAGTTCCTCAATCCTCCCCCACAAAAAAAAAAACGAAGAATCAAATATAGAGATGTTGAACGCTCATTCGTACGTAATCTTTGGTCCACGTGTTGGCGATCTATACGGCTAGCCGTGCTGTCAGAAAAGCACTAAAACAATTTTATATTACACTAATCACCAACCCTTTACAAAACTATTTTTTAGTTTTACACCCACATTCTCACCTCTATTCTAACAGATGGGACCCGTGAAAAGGAAGGACGTTTCAGCCGTGGGTGTCCGCATGGGTGCTCTTGATACTTAGGTTGGAATTATTTGATCCTAGGACCGAGCAAATTAGGAAGGGCCAAAAGAGTGGGAAAATATAATAAAAAGGGCAAAAGAAGTTAGTAGGCCGGGCAAGTGAACCCTTATCCCCCTCCTTCCTCTTTTAAGCACTATAATAATATCTATCTAAATCTAGAAAGAGATTGCAAAGCATTCCACTAATTTGTGGCCACCATTTTTATTAACAAGGTAACTAGACCTAAACCCCATTATCTAATGATCTCTTTCTCTATTTATATTGGCTCGCATATATGTATATGCTTGTAAACACCAAATCTAAATCTAGAAAGAGAGAACTAGGCATTCATTATTCCATTGGCAAGGTAATTAGTTCTAAATCTTCTTTGGAGAAAGTAACAAGTCCTAAATCTTATTGTCTTAGATTTTGATCTCTGCATCTATTATTATCTTGATTATTGTCTTTCTTTCTTCTTCTTAATTTTCTCCCCTCCTCCCTCTTTTGATGTGTAGGTGTGTTGTTAGTTTTTGTACTGGCCGCTTGTGATTGAATTTGCTTTGGGTCTAATGGGGAGGGGGAAGATTGTGATAAGGAGGATCGACAACTCGACTAGTAGGCAAGTGACCTTTTCGAAGAGGAGGAATGGATTGCTAAAGAAGGCGAAGGAGCTCGCCATTCTTTGTGATGCAGAGGTTGGACTCATCATATTTTCAAGTACCGGTCGCCTTTATGATTACTCAAGCTCAAGGTATATGTGTGATTTTATCTCTTTGCTCCTCTAGAGTTTTGTATATGTTCGGTTAATTGTTTGTGATTTTATCTCCTCTTTCCTCAAGATTTTGTGTACATCTAGATAATAGTTAATTTGCTTGTTTTGTTTCTTTTTATGTGTGTTCTTTATTCAAGATGTTATAGTATGGTTGAAATTTTAGTATTGAACAGATTATTATTTGTTGCGCGATTTAGGTTTGTTTTTTGTATAACAAATTTCTGGCTTCTTGAGTGTAGATCTTTTATATGCGTGCTTCTAGGTTTATTTTTCTTTAACCATTAACATCCCTCACTATTTTTTTCTTATTATTAATTCTTGGTTACTATATACATCTCCGTCTGATGCCCCCCGCCCCCACCCACCCACACACACCACCCTCCCTCCCTCTCACAGTCTCAGGTCAAGCTTGATATATATCTTACTCGATCTAAATTAATGAGAAATTAATGAGTGAGATGATATATATATATATCTACTATATATTGGTTCATGCAATTATTGAAGTCACCGTTGTTCCATAAACTTATAGGATATTTCGATAAATCTAGAAAGTTTTCTCCTATTTTAATTAATAGCATGCAGAAATATATACTCTTTCTAATAAAAGGGAGAAGTTGCTAACAAGAGTTTTTAAGGTTGGTAAACTTTTTCCTTCCATGGTTCAGAAAATAGTACTACTATTTGCTGTAGGATCGAGTCGATGTAGTGATTAAACGCTAGACCAGATCATGATATTAACTTGAAGAAGCTGCTTTGTTTGTGTTGGAGTTGATAACTATTCTCTGCCTACAATCCAATATATATTCACATCATGTACTTAATAATTCGTTTATATATAATGTACAGTAGTTTAATGGAGTGGTTATTCTTAATATATATAGTCGACATGCATCGTGATTATGATCAGTAATGGCCAGAAACTTATATAATCATGATCAAAAAGTCCATTCTGTTACATTACTCCTAAGTTATTCTTGCTCCAAGGTGTATCCATTTCCATGAAAAATTTCAACCTATAGCAAGTTTTTGAGATAATTAAATTTCTCATCACTTTATATTGTCCTAAAGGAGATAAAAATTAAAATGAACACCAAGTTCATGTTCTTAATCACAATTAATCTTGATGAAAGGTGTATCCAGTTAGTAACACTTGGCTAGATGTTTAAGAAGGCTAAGAGATATGCGGAAGGTAACGAAAAGGTGCTCTTTTTGAGCTACATTAAGCTAGTTGAGCTTGTAATTAATATTCAAGTTGATGCATATGTAATTTATCCAAAATGAATATAAATAAGCACTAGTTAATTAGTTAATTATCACTCTTTATCTGACCCATGAGAGTTATACTAAGTTACAATTCCCTCCATGAGGATGAATTTTTTAAAATGTTTATTTTATTATTTATTTATTTGTTTGTTTTTTGTGAGCTCGTGTAAGAAGACACATCTAGTGCTTAGTAGTATTGATGTGTTAACAAAGAGGCTTGGAGTTTGGTGTAATGATCATGAGTATTCATGTTGGATGCATGTAATAATAATTGTACAGATTTTTTTAAATATGGAGTATTTCACCTGTACAATTTATTTTTCATTAGTAGAATGAGAGTTGGACTTCTCTCGTTCTTAGAGCGAGAGAGGACTAATAAGTAGGTGCTCTTATAACTTCTTTTTGGTCAATGAAAAGATTTTATTCATCAACGAGTATGAGAAAATTTTGTACATCAAGATCTCAAAACTGTTTTTTGATATATCAAAAACTTGTAACCAAAAGCTCTAAAAAAGTAAACAAAAGCAGAGCATTTACAATGAGATTAACCAGGCTTTCTTTTCAGCTGAGATCGATGAATTCAGATTTGAGATCAGTATATCCATCTTTATGTCCTTGATCAAACATTCCACGCTTCTATTCTTAAGTTGGAAGATCCTGGCATTTCTTTCTCCCTAAATCCTGTAAATTATAGCTGAAAATGCCATGCGCTTGATCCCTTGTTTGAATCCTTTCCCTCTCACTCTTGTACAAAACCAGTTCAATAGAAGTCTCCAATCGTAGGACTTCCAAGTGAATTCAAGCTAGTTCATGATGTCATTCCACACCTCACTTGAAAAACTGCAATAAGAACAAGTGATTTCTATTTTCCAAGCTGTTGCCAGAACATAAGATGCATACATTTGTATTAATGACTCCCCTCCTCAACAATCTATCTTGTATAAGCAGTCGGTTGTGAACAGCAAGCCAACTAATGAAAGTTTGGGTAGCTCATCCTTTCCCATACAGTATCATGCCATGGAACTCTATGTATAACAAGGAAAAAAGCATTGTATAAAGTTGATAATTGAGCTTTTGAATTACCAAAACAGGAGCACATGAACTAGACTAGATTATTAATCCCTCCATAGTGCATGCATCACAGCTTTATCTCTCTTCTTCAATATTTGTTTCCATATCCAAGAATACTCCTTCCTTGCACACACATGCCAGATGTCCCTATGTCTCAAGTAAGTCCCATGAACCCATTTGATCCATAGAGATTCTTTATTTATATGAATGGACCATAAGTTTTTCAAAACTGCAGCCAAATTCCATGTATAGGCAGAAAAAACCTCAAGACCACCCTTCTTTCTTCCTAGGCATATAGTTTCCCAAGCAACGAGAGGAGCTTTTGAAGTTTAATTTGTTTTACCCCAAAGGAAGTTCCTACACATTTCATCCACCTTGCGGGTAACATTTACAGGAAAGATATAATTTGAAGTCCAATAAACTTGCACCCCCAGAATGACACTCCTGATGACTTGTAATCTACCAACATAGGTAAGATTTTTACGTTTCAGTCAAATCTAAAGTTGGTTAGACACTTTGTTTATAAGTGCATTGCAGTCCATATATGATAGTTTCATACAAATGAGAGGGACACCTAAGTATCTGATTGGAAAATTTCCTTCTTTGAATCCTAATAGATTTGTAATTTCAGTCTTGACTGCATCATCAACTCCACCAAAGAAAATTGAACATTTATCCTGATTTGCTTCAAGTCCAGTGATTTTACCAAAATTATTAACACATTGGTACAGTTTCTGAATAGAGTATACATCTCCCTTCCCAAAAAGTAGTAAATCATCAGCAAATATGAGGTGGGTAAGCTTTAATCTTCCACACTTGTGGTAAAATTTAAACAACCTGTCATGTTTAAGCATGTCCAAACTCCTCGATAGATATTCCATGCCTAAGATAAAAAGATAAGGAGAAAGAGGATAACCTTGTCTCAATCCCCTCTCCCCCTTAAAATATCCATGGAGAGAATCATTAAGAGAAATGAAGAATTTGGGACTAGACACACAAGTCATAATCCTATCAATTATGAAATCCGGGAACTTCAGCCCCTTGAGCATATTTTGTAAAAAACTCCAACTGATAGTGTCAGAGGCTTTCTTGATGTCCATATTTAACGTAACTCTGGGAGATATATTCTTCCTTCCATATCCTTTGACCAATTCATGTGCTAACATTATATTACTTATAATTTGTCTACCCTTCACAAAAGCACTTTGTGCATCATTCACTAAATGACCAATACTGATTTTATCCTATTTGCCAAGATTTTGGAAATAAATAGGCAATTGCAGCAGGAAATGGGTCTAAAGTCAGCAAGAGTTTTAGGACATATCACCTCGGGGATTAGTGTAATTGAGGTGGAATTTACCACACCCAACAGCTTGCCTAAGTTGAAGAATTCTTCAATGGCTAGTGTAATCTCATCCCTTACAATCGGCCATGTAAATTTGAAGAAAGGGTCACCATACCCATCAGGGCCAGGAGCCTTGTTATCTGACATTGAAAAAATAGCATCTCTGATTTCATCTTTGGTTACAGGTTTGGAGAGTAAACTGGCTTGATCACTATATAGACACGGGCCAAATTGGATGATGATAGTATCAGGAACATTTGTAGTAGTTGCCTTCCCCATAAGATTCTTATAATATGAAACAAATTCTTTTGCAATTTCATCATTATCAATAATTCTGTCTCCAGTATCATTGTATAGGACCCTCACATTGTTGTGATGTCTATGGATTTTTATGACAGAATGGAAAAAATATGTGCATCTATCTCCTTTTAAGCTCCAGGCAATTCTGGCTTTCTGTTGATAAAAGGATATTTCACATTCAAGCAGCTTATTATATACAGCCAAGCATTCCCTTTCATTTTTGATGAGAGAATGACTAAGATGATCAAGCTGGAGATTCTTTTGAATATCTTCTAAAGCATGCCTAGCTCTTAGGACCTGTTCATTGATGTTGTGGAAATGTCTCTTGTTCATATCCTTAAGAACTTCTCTCAGATTTTTTTAATTTTGTACAAACTGAGTACATATGAAAACTTGTAATGTCAGTTTGCCATATGCTAGCTACTGTTGCTAAGAAACTATCATGTTTTGTCCACATTGTAGGCGTCAAAAAATACTTACAGACATCCAAATACTACTCAAAGAAAAGAGAAGACGATAAACGTCATTCTCTTAATCAGAAGGGATCATTCAAAGGAATCGAAACAAACATGGAAGAATAATATACACACCAATAGGTAGTATCTGGTGCTGTGGCTAAGGCGCGGCAGTATCTGGTGGTGGCGCGCCTTAGGCGCGTCAGTACATAGTGGCGCGGCTATTATAAGGGGTGCTGCGGCGGTTACAAAGCAGTTATACGATGATTTTTTGAAGCCCATGTGGCGGCATATCAGAAATAGAACGTGTGCTGACGTGGACAAGCAGTTAAACCACGAAAAAAGTGGTTAAAGGTCGTGGGAGAACGGTTTCAAGCACGAGGGAACGTGGATGTAACTGCCCCTTTAGCCGCGGTAGCCCACATTACCGCGCCAATAGCCGCGGCAGTGTTGACTGACACAGCCAAAGAGCATTTGTTTGGTCAGTTATCTCGCCCCTATTTCCACTGTTATGCACTGCTACCCCTATAAATACCTCCCTA